AGCACAGCCGTATACCTACTTTATGCTCTTACGCGCATATGCTACATTTCTCGCACCTAGCTAAAGTGCTTGACAAAGGCAGAAGGCATATCTTTAACATTATAACTTAATGTAAAAAAGTTTAAGGCATGCAATAAAAGAATACAACAGAACCAAAAAATGTTCTCAAAACTATTAAACATAAAAAATTGCACGAATAAAATTCATAATTTAAAATAAAATATCGCAATTGTTTTTTATATGTACATACATATTTACAAAATAAATCTAAAGTACCCACAGTAAGTCCTAAACATATAAATGACTAATAAGAAAAATAATAAATAACAGTGATATGAAAAAGTATGTCGAGAAATCTCTAAATTGTAGCGGAACTGTATCTCAATAATAACAAGTAATTTTAAGCAAAAAATACAACCGACTTCAATGCGCATTTAGGTCGTTCTGGTTACGTAGATCCGACTGTCCTCGCTTTTTTAAAATGGTTAAAAAAATGAATACGTATTCTACAGAAAAAAATCAAGATACATATTTAAGGATTTTAAGTAAAAATATATAAAACTTGTTCGTGATATCTCGACCAAGGTGTATTCATGATACAAAAATCTGAAGGTAAAACCGCTGAAAGGCAGGCTGAACATTTTTAAAGTTTGCTAACATTACAAAAATGCTTTCAAATTTCCAATCTCACAAATAATTTCATTTTCAGTCTCAAATAAATACAAATTTCAATATTTTCATCTATTTTTTTTGTTTTACTTTTATTTGGCATTTAAGTTGCTATCAAAATTTCAATTTTATAAAATAGACAAACTTAAAAAAATAAATGATGGCCGACGAATTGAGCGAGCGGTTTTATCTTTAAATATTTGTATCATGGGTGTATTAAACAAGGGCCGTATCCATAAAACCTAAGCAAATGCTTTTTCTTAAAATTTCAGACCTTTCACTAAATTTTTTCAAATAAATTTAAGTGAAAGGTATGAAAATCTGAGAAAGAGTAATTGCTTAGGTTTTATGCACACGGCCCAAGGTGTGGCTCTCTTTTAAGATATTATTATGTAGAAAAATATAAACAAACGATTCAAAATTCATACAAATTTTTTTCAATTTGACTGTATAGGATAGTTCTTCTGAGAGCATGGTCAAATTCAATCACGCTTTGTTAAATACATTTTGATCTCTACCAAATAATATACTTCCTCTGTAAATATGTTATGAATTGTTCCAAAATTCGCTCCGAGCGCGTTCACTGTTGATCATTTGATTTAAATAGTTTGTCAAACAATTAATACTATAGTTTGATCGGAGTTAATATATTCTTGAGTAATTAATTAAATTATATTAAAACATAAGCTTATGAGAAATTATTTAGTTTTAATATGCATATTTTATATCGTGTTTGATTCAAATATTGTTTGTCAAGTATTCAGTAGTGAAGTTTGATCGGAGTTTATATATAATTCAGTAATTAATCATATTAAATTGAAATATAAACGTATAATATGGTAGAAAGTTAGAAATTGTTTAGTGTTAATACGCATTATTCACTGCGTGTTCCAAAAATCGCTCCGAGTGCGTTCACTATTGACCATTTGATTTAAATAATTGTTTCTCAAGCATTCAGTACTATAGTTTGATCGGAAATTATATATTCTTAAGTAATTGATCACATTTTATTAAAATATAAACGATTAATAGGGTAGGAATTGTAAAATTATTTAGCTTTAGCATGTATAGTCGCCTGAGATAATTGCAGAAAACTGCAACTACTCGTGAAAACTTACAATGAAAGCAATGTAGATGAAGGTAATAAATATGATTATTAAAATTAGATCCATATATAAAACATTTTACATCATTTATTTGAAGTAAATCGGAATATATTTTTACGTATAAGATAGTTTCCATTTAACTTAAAGTACATATTTCACTACAAATATTTTTAAGATCATTTCGAATTGCAAAAATAGCGCTAATTAGTTGTATTGAAGTATAAAAGATTTTATTACGTTCATGTTTACTTATAAAGCGCATAACAATATTTCTCTCGCCATTTATCCGATGTTAAAATTTTTTACCACGTTATTTTGCTGCACAGCACCCTGAATGCGGCAAAACAGTTCTTTATGGGGACCAAACTAACAGCCACAACAACAAAAACCTTTTCTACTGGTATACTGTGAACAGAACAAATGAACATATGCTTTTTCTCGCTTAACGCAGCTTGGTACAATTGGCACACAGCGAACATACACACAACAGACTTTTTTATACCCGAGCGCACTTGTGCACAAGGGTATTATAACTTTGTTCACATAACGGTTGTTTGTAACAGGCAAAACGAATCGAGATAGATATAGACAAATGTATACATAAATGATCAGAATGAAAAGAGAAATCGATTAAGCGGTGACTGTCTGTCCGTCCGTCCGTCCGTCCGTCTGTGCACACGATAACTCGAGTAAAAATTGAGATATCTTAACGAAACTTGGTACGTGCACTTCTTTCGGGCGTAGGACGGATGGTATTGAAAATGGGCAAAATCGGACAATAACCACGCCTACCTCCCATATAACGGTAATTTTCAGAAATACGAAAACTGCGATATTTTAGTAACTACTGAAGATAATTTACTTAAAATTGATTTTTACAATGAGTTTTAGACGAAAAATAAGAATATTAAAAAATTTTGGCAAATGGGCGTAGCCACGCCTACTTATGGTTACATGTTTATATCTTGGTAACCGCTGCACCAATTTCTTCCAAACTTGGCACAGTTGTTGGCCTTGGTACAGCATAATAAACCGCCGAAACTTTTTAAAATCGGACAATAACCACGCCCACATCCCATATAACGGTAATTTAGAGAAATACAAAATCTTCGATAAATCAGTAAATATTGAAGCTAATTTATTCAAAATTGATGCTTGCAACAATTCTTTACCAAGAAATACGTTTATGACAAAATTTTGGAAAATGGGCGTAGCACCGCCCACTTGTGATCACATATATGTATCTCGCTAACCGTTCTAGCAATTTGTACCAAGCTCGGTATGGTTATTGTGCTTGCCACATAAAAGCAAACCGTTGAAAATTGTTGAAATCGGACTAAAATTGAGGCCGCTTTTCATATAACGGTAAATTTCAGAAATGCTTGAAATTTCAATATTTCGAAATTTAAGGACGCTAATTTACTTATCATGTAGCGGTAGCTGTCGGAAAGGAGGAAAACATATATTTAATACTTGCGCCGGGTATTTAATGTTCGGCTCAGCCCGAACTTAGACTTTGTTACTTGTTAAAGTATCACTTTTGTTTCACAAATTTATGTTATACTAGCGGTATCCCGGTGTGCTTCTCTACACCAGATATTGGAAAATTGATGAAAAATCCTGGAATATTTCTATATGAAGATTTATCATTTGTTTTATTTCAAAATGTTTGATTCTTTATTTTTAATCTTAATCCAACACATTTGGATATACAACATTTTTTGTTTTTCCATCTTGGGTATGAATAAATAAACAATTTTTAATGCCAACTCTTGAACAGGCCACGTATACCTGTCCGTGCGAAAAGCACGGCTCCTCCAAATTCAATCTGCATACTTGAAGAGTTTGTCCTGGCGCCTTGTTGACGGACATGGCAAATGCTAGACGCACTGGGAATTGCAAACGCTTGAATTCAAACGTCATGTCTGTTTTTATCAGTGGAATACGTGGTATGAGCACAATTTCA